AATGAAGAAGATGTTGTTGTTCATTATTATTAATGACGATGAGAAACCGGGCACTTGGTTCCGAAAGCGAAATACTGAATTAAGTGGGACAGCTGTAACTGTTAGCAACCACGAGGTTCATTGCCATTGTGAATGAAAAGTTTTACAAATTGAACCTTATGGCGGGACCCCGGGGTCCCGAATAAACGGAAGTCAAAATCGTCATTAATTTTTTAATTAATTTGTGCCGACTCCGTCCCACCGCGCACATCAACGCCGCGACCCACCCGGCGCAGATCGCTCTGTTATGTCGTGTCCAGGCGCAGCAGCGAGGACGAATGCGCAGAAGAAACAAAACTTTGAAACTTTGATTAGCGCACCGTGTAGAGCTCGTCGAGAGGGATAGATTTGCCGTGTCGTTCGCCTTCCACAGACATAAAATGACGTCGCAACGCAGTTTATGCGAGAGCCGGGGGCTTATGGGACCCCGGGGTCCCCACACAAGGTTCAATTTCAGTACCGTGAATATTACTCCTGGGTAGTACAGCCAACACCGACTAATACGTCCAGTAACATGCGCTCTTCATATACAATATATGTATTTGTGGCTATTGTCTGTAAGTGTACCGTGTTACTGTGCTCTGTTATTCCCGTGGTCTGTGACCAAATCTCCCGGAATGCGCCCCATCGCGTCAGATGCGGAAATCTCAGCAGGACTTGAGCCTGGATAGTCCTTGAATGGGTCACCATGCAATACACGGGGGTCCTCTCCCAAACGGCACCACTTAGTTCACTAAGTGCAGTGTGTAACTGTACATTTCTAACGTACGGTACTGTGTGATATGTATATGATTGTAAACGCATTGGCATATTCAACTGCAGTGCGGCAATGCAACAATATACAGACACCGCAGAACAATTCACCATTCAGATTTGTGGCCATGCCACCCAAATTGTGGACCATAACACGTGGGTTAAAGGCTGTAGTTCCCCCCCCCCCCCTTTCAATGTAGGAGAAGAAGCTAAAGCTACACGAACTCTCTCACTCTCCTGATTTACTCTCCAACACACCGGTGGGCTGAAGTAGTAAACTAATTGGCGCGTTGTTGTTTCCGTGACAATCCTTACTGGCTGTGTAGGGTGGTGGAGGGTTACGACACATTTATACTGACGCGATCTAACCCCAAAAACCTTTACTATGAATAATACAGTATTAGTGAACATTTTTAGCATATACCGCGTTGCACAATATACATAAAACAGTGTTGCAACCCAATAAGGTATATATACACACGTACATTATACAACAAAGACAAAGATCCCCCGTATAGTCTGTAACAGACTGTTTGGGCAAGTGCTGTTAGCGAGCACCTATGAAGGCCGGCACTGTGGCACACGAGGGGGTGGGGGTGGCCAGCACCACACCCGTCCGCCTTTGTCTCCCTTCGTGGCGATATTTACACACCGCACCAGGTACTCATTTGAGGCTGACTCCACCTATGTATATACACACACACGTGCGTTATAAACACACACGCGCACAAAGCCAATTCGAGACAAGACTTTGAGCAAATCGCAGTCTCACACACACAGGAATATGTCAATAGTTAAAATAAGCAAAAAGGGTATAAGAGCAATGATGGTGGGCCACACGTGTTTACACAGCAGGTGCACCTGACGTCAAGGCGAGAACTCACAGCAAACAATAACAACACGTGACATGCGCCACTCTGTCCAGCACAAACAAACATGTTTCCCACTTCCCAACAAGAGCAACCACCGTCACCACCACCATCATCACAACAACATGCAACCACCCACCATGTACCCCCATCCGTTGGCGGTGGTTGTTTAGTGTTGGGCTAGGGTGTAGGGTGGTTGTGTAGTGTTGGGCTAGGGTGTAGGGTGGTTGTGTAGTGTTGTGCTTGGGTGTAGGGGTGGTTGTGTTGTGTTGGGCTAGGGTGTAGGGGTGGTTGTGTAGTGTTGGGCTAGGGTGTAGGGGTGGTTGTGTAGTGTTGGGCTAGGGTGTAGGGATGGTTGTGTAGTGTTGGGCTAGGGTGTAGGGGTGGTTGTGTAGTGTTGGGCTAGGGTGTAGGAGTGGTTGTGTAGTGTTGGGCTAGGGTGTAGAGTGGTTGTGTAGTGTTGGGCTAGGGTGTAGAGGTGGTTGTTTAGTGTTGGGCTAGGGTATAGAGTGGTTGTGTAGTGTTGGGCTAGGGTGTAGGGTGGTTGTGTAGTGTTGGGCTAAGGTGTAGGGGTGGTTGTGTAGTGTTGGGCTAGGGTGTAGAGGTGGTTGTGTAGTGTTGGGCTAGGGTGTAGAGGTGGTTGTTTAGTGTTGGGCTAGGGTATAGAGTGGTTGTGTAGTGTTGGGCTAGGGTGTAGGGTGGTTGTGTAGTGTTGGGCTAGGGTGTAGGGGTGGTTGTGTAGTGTTGGGCTAGGGTGTAGAGGTGGTTGTGTAGTGTTGGGCTAGGGTGTAGGGGTGGTTGTTTAGTGTTGGGCTAGGGTGTAGGGTGGTTGTGTAGTGTTGGGCTAGGGTGTAGGGTGATTGTGTAGTGTTGGGCTAGGGTGTAGGGTGGTTGTGTAGTGTTGGGCTAGGGTGTAGGGGTGGTTGTTTAGTGTTGGGTTAGGGTGTAGGGGTGGTTGTGTAGTGTTGGGCTAGGGTGTAGGGGTGGTTGTTTAGTGTTGGGCTAGGGTGTAGGGGTGGTTGTGTAGTGTTGGGCTAGGGTGTAGGGGTGGTTGTTTAGTGTTGGGCTAGGGTGTAGGGGTGGTTGTGTAGTGTTGGGCTAGGGTGTAGGGGTGGTTGTGTAGTGTTGGGCTAGGGTGTAGGGGTGGTTGGTTCGTGTTGGGATAGGGTGTAGGGGTGGTTGTATAGTGTTGGGCTAGGGTGTAGGGTGGTTGTGTAGTGTTGGACTAGGGTGTAGAGGTGGTTGTGTAGTGTTGGGCTAGGGTGTAGGGGTGGTTGTGTAGTGTTGGGCTAGGGTGTAGGGGTGGTTGTGTAGTGTTGGGCTAGGGTGTAGGGTGGTTGTTTAGTGTTGGGCTAGGGTGTAGGGTGGTTGTTTAGTGTTGGCTAGGGTGTAGGGTGGTTGTTTAGTGTTGGGCTAGGGTGTAGGGTGGTTGTTTAGTGTTGGGCTAGGGTGTAGGGTGGTTGTTCAGTGTTGGGCTAGGGTGTAGGGTGATTGTGTAGTGTTGGGCTAGGGTGTAGGGGTGGTTGTTTAGTGTTGGGCTAGGGTGAAGGGGTGGTTGGTTCGTGTTGGGCTAGGGTGAAGGGTGGTTGTGTAGTGTTGGGCTAGGGTGTAGGGGTGGTTGTGTAGTGTTGGGCTAGGGTGTAGGGGTGGTTGTTTAGTGTTGGGCTAGGGTGTAGGGGTGGTTGTGTAGTGTTGGGCTAGGGTGTAGGGTGGTTGTGTAGTGTTGGGCTAGGGTGTAGGGTGGTTGTTTAGTGTTGGCTAGGGTGTAGGGTGGTTGTTTAGTGTTGGGCTAGGGTGTAGGGTGGTTGTTTAGTGTTGGGCTAGGGTGTAGGGTGGTTGTTCAGTGTTGGGCTAGGGTGTAGGGTGATTGTGTAGTGTTGGGCTAGGGTGTAGGGGTGGTTGTTTAGTGTTGGGCTAGGGTGAAGGGGTGGTTGGTTCGTGTTGGGCTAGGGTGAAGGGTGGTTGTGTAGTGTTGGGCTAGGGTGTAGGGGTGGTTGTGTAGTGTTGGGCTAGGGTGTAGGGGTGGTTGTTCAGTGTTGGTCAGGATGTAGGGGTGGTTGGGGGTTACTGAGTTGTTGGGGGATAAAAAAAGCGCCGTGTGTGTCCCAGTGTGAGTACGCCTCTTCTTGCTCTATCGTACACACAGTAGACCACACACACCACCCATTCACCACCTCCCCGTGCATCACACCACCCATTCACAGCAACTGCGGTGTGAGGTTGTTGTGTTGTGCACACAGCACACCACACACCACACACACCACACACACCACACATTCACAGTAACTGTGGTGTGAGGTTGTTGTGTTGTGCACACAGCACACCACACACAGCACACCACACACACCACCCATTCACAGCAACTGTGGTGTGAGGTTGTTGTGTTGTGCACACAGCACACCACACACAGCACACCACACACAGCACACCACACACAGCACACCACACACAGCACACATTCACAGCAACTGCGGTGTGAGGTTGTTGTGTTGTGAACACAGCACACCACACACAGCACACCACACACACCACCCATTCACAGCAACTGTGGTGTGAGGTTGTTGTGTTGTGCACACATCACACCACACACAGCACACCACACACAGCACACCACACACAGCACACCACACACAGCACACCACACACACACCACACATTCACAGCAACTGCGGTGTGAGGTTGTTGTGTTGTGCACACAGCACACCACACACAGCACACCACACACAGCACACATTCACAGCAACTGCGGTGTGAGGTTGTTGTGTTGTGAACACAGCACACCACACACAGCACACCACACACAGCACACATTCACAGCAACTGCGGTGTGAGGTTGTTGTGTTGTGTACACAGCACACCACACACAGCACACCACACACACCACACATTCACAGCAACTGCGGTGTGAGGTTGTTGTGTTGTGTACACAGCACACCACACACAGCACACCACACACACACACAGCACACATTCACAGCAACTGCGGTGTGAGGTTGTTGTGTTGTGTACACAGCACACCACACACAGCACACCACACACACACACAGCACACATTCACAGCAACTGCGGTGTGAGGTTGTTGTGTTGTGCATAGCTGCTGGGGGGGGAGGGAGGGAGGGAACGGCGGTGGGGGGGAGTGGAGGAGGAGGAGGTGGTGGGGGTGACGGTGACGGCGGTGGGAGTTTAGTGGTGGTGGTGGTGATGATTGTGGCGGTAGAGGGGAGAGTGGGTGGTAGTGATCGCTGATGTATGTTTTATTTATTTATCGCGTGTTGCGTGCGCCTTAAACTCTAATGTACAACACCCGCATTCACGGCTCAACGGGAGCAATTACTGTACCGGGCATCATTCGAAGCGCTCGCTTGCTACGACAATTCGGTAAGTTCGCGTGTTCGTCTTAAGCGCGCTTTGGCGGGCTAACGTTGCAAAGTTTTGCTTTAATTGCTGATCATCATTAATTACCTCTACTCTCCACTTTCACCCCCCTCACCCACCCACCACCACCACCACCGAAGCACGTACGCTAAAGTGTTTAAACGCTTGCACTGTGGACTTCCAAGTGGCGTAGTGCGGGACGCGTTAACAAGTTTGCGGTAACGTCGCAACGTAACGTCGCGTTTTACGAAGCTTTTGCTACAACATTGTATATAAGGTCGCAAGCGCAGTTAAGTAATAGTAGTTGTAGTAAATATATCCTGCTGTCCCGTGATTGTAGTATTTCGTAGCGAAGCAGCGCAATTATTGTATTGCCAGGAGGTTCTCCCGATGTTGTCTATAAGACGATTGATGGTGACTGCTCGTGTTGTTATTGTCTTGTGTTTAAAAGCTGCGTAGCTGGAATGCAGCTGCTGCTGCTGTTGTTGTTACCCTGGGCTTATACACATTACGAACGAGAGAGAATGAGAATCTTTATTTGTCCTGGAGGAAGCCGAGAGAGATAGTTTATTGAGTTTAAGGCAATGGATGGATGGGGGGAACGGACTCGCAGAAGGCAATGCGTTGTTATGGATGTGTGTGTGTGTTTGTGTGTACGGATAACAACGGTGTGGTTGTTGGTTGTTGTGTGTAGGTTGTTGTGTGTAGGTTGTTGTATGTAGGTTGTTGTGTGCTCGAAAGGACCGCTGCTAAAGCGGCCTTTGCCAAAATCGTCGTCGCGGGGGTTTAAAAAAAATATTCTTCAGAAGCGGTGCTGATAAATCTTAGTAGGATGATTGAGGCACAACGCTGCCAAAACTCCTAACTCACCCACCACCCAACTCACCCACCACCACCACCACCCAACTCACCCACCACCCAACTCACCCACCACCATCACCCAACTCACCCACCACCATCACCCAAGTCACCCACCACCCAAGTCACCCACCACCACCACCACCACCCAAGTCACCCACCACCACCCAAGTCACCCACCACCACCCAAGTCACCCACCACCACCCAAGTCACCCACCACCAAAGTCACCCACCACCCAACTCATCCACCATCACCCAACTCACCCACCACCACCACCCAACTCACCACCACCACCACCAACTCACCCACCACCCAACTCACCCACCACCACCACCCAACTCACCCACCACCACCACCACCACCCAAGTCACCCACCACCACCACCCAAGTCACCCACCACCACCACCACCCAAGTCACCCACCACCACCACCCAAGTCACCCACCACCCAAGTCACCCACCACCCAACTCACCCACCACCACCCAACTCACCCACCACCACCCAACTCACCCACCACCCAACTCACCCACCACCACCACCCAACTCACCCACCAACCAACTCACCCACCACCATCACCCAACTCAGCCACCACCACCCAACTCACCCACCACCCAACTCACCCACCACCATCACCCAACTCAGCCACCACCACCACCCAACTCACCCACCACCCAACTCACCCACCACCCAACTCACCCACCACCCAACTCACCCACCACCATCACCCAACTCACCCACCACCACCCAACTCACCCACCACCCAACTCACCCACCACCCAACTCACCCACCACCCAACTCACCCACCACCACCCAACTCACCCACCACCACCCAACTCACCCACCACCCAAGTCACCCACCACCACCCAAGTCACCCACCACCACCACCCAAGTCACCGACCACCACCCAACTCACCCACCACCACCACCACCCAACTCACCCACCACCACCACCCAACTCTGCCACCACCCAACTCAGCCACCACCACCCAACTCAGCCACCACCACCACCCAACTCAGCACCACCCAACTCACCCACCACCACCCAACTCAGCCACCACCACCACCACCCAACTCAGCCACCACCACCAACCTCACTCGCTCCCTAGTCGAGGTGGTTGAGAGTCCACGCGGCATTGCCCTCCTCCTGCTGCTTTAGTCTAAGACGTTCACTTCCTAAGGCTAAACCACTTAAAAACTTCTTACACTGCTGCTTCGTCGCTGTGTTCTACTTTTGTCAGACACTGTGTGTGTGTGGGGGGGGTGCACTAATATATCGTTGTGTTATAGGACGTATAGTAGTAGTTTTATAGTTTCGAGCAGTTATGTATCCACGTAGACTTGTCTTTTCGCGAGCTGTATGTGTATTGTAGAGTCTAGACTGTTATTGTGTTATAGCTTAGAGCGGCATGTATATTGTAGTTAGGAAGCTGTTCTAGTTTACAGCTGCATCTATGCTGTGTGGGCTATATAGAGTGCTGCTGTTGTTTTTTTATATCTTAAAACGAATAAACTGTAGGATAGACTGTTGTGTTTTTAGCCTCGAACAATATAATGTAGAGTGTAGACTATTCTAGTTTACTACCACGGGTACGGTGGAGACTTATATTTTAGGTTAGAACAATATGCATACTCTAGAGTACTATGATGTGAAGCCTGGACTGATCTAGTTTCGTATAGTATGTATACTTATGATTTATAACCATGTATACTGTAGATAATAGACTGTTGCTGTGTTTTAGTTTAGACCAGTACTGAATGTATACTGTTAGGCTGTGTTAAACATTACAGTCGTATATAACAGCATGTATACTCCTGTACATATACTGTATTGAAGTAAACAAATGTATATCCACTCATCTAATGTGGAAAGTTCATAGATTGTCGGTGGGCATACTGCGTGTATGTATACGGACAAAGTAGGTTCTGTATAAAGTGGTGCCACATAAACGCTACTTCGTTTAAAGCAGTATGCATACTGAATTACGCACAGGTTATATAGTATATAGTTAGTTCCTTGGTTAATTCCACTGCTGGATGAAGTGGTTTTGTCATGGTGGTTGTGTTTTTAGATGTCGTGGCTGGGAATCGAACTTGGGTTAAGAACACGGCCAACCCTTCAAACACGCAGCATGCCCAGTTTGTGTTGATTGATAAATGCGTGCATATCCAGTCTTTAAATTAACCCCCAAGACAGTACATGAATTAATAATATATACTCATCGGGATATTCATTATTCAAGGATGGACGCGGCTCTCAGGTTGTGTGCGTGACAGTATTGTATGTCCAGGTATGCCGTGAAGTTAATTCGTTTATTTCGCGTGGATATGTTCAGCACCCCTTTTTACAAATCTGCTTCTGGATTAAACAACAAAAAAACCTCGGATTATCGGGGGTGTTTGGGGGGGTGAGAATGTTATGACCATACCTCACCACACTGGTCATTCATAGCAGGTTGGTGAATGGGGTGAGTGGGCCCACAGGACCGTATTTATAGATCGCTGTCACTCATCCGGGAATCAAACTCAGGTGGCCTTGCTCAGAGGGCGGCAGTGCGCTAATCACTGCGCCACCGCTCTCCACCCGTGTATGATTGCATTCGACATTTGGGGTAATTTAGCAGTGGTGGTGGGGGGGGATTTTTGTTGTTGTCTACAGAGTTGCTAACTTTTTTGATATTGATGTTTCTAACTGAACATCTGCGAAAAAGAGCTTTATAGCTCGTCGAATTCCTCCAGTATGAAACAGGTGGATGTGTCATCACAATTCGGAACTGATGCTGACGAGAGTCTAATTTTAATGTTTTGTTATATCTACTGTTGGCGTGGAACAATGAGGAGCATACGTGATTAGTACAGCTATACAACTCTTTTAGTACAATTACTGCAGATAACCTTTCTTGCGGTAACAAAGTGTGACTTACGTGTGTGTGTACGCCGCTGTTTGAAATTACACTCATTCGTTTTATAGTGTTGCACTTTGTATTTTAATTCTTATACGTTGTAGAGGCTCATTAGATGTTTTACTATTTTTCTGTTATTAAATTACAGTGTTAATACACACAAGCTGTCGGTGTATTTAGGGGTAAGAAAAAATATAAACCACCTTTATCCGACCCCGGGTTTAATTTAAACATTTTCAACGCCGCGTTTCGCATTTTCATGTTGGCTTTAGATTACATCGAAGCTTTAATGTCATTGTCTTATTACAACTAATGCACATTCATTATTTGTGCGGCGTTGTTTTCGTGTATACGACTAATTATCCCAAGAACGCGTTCGGTAGATGCACGTTTCGTTAACATTGCACGCGTGATGATAACCATCGTGTGTATTTCATTGCCGTGTGTTTTCTAATGTATGTACAGTCCTTCTGAACAATATTTTATATATACACTTTGTGTAAAAGCCTTATTTTTTTCTGACGTTCGTGGCCAAAGATGTGGTCACAAAATCACATTGTTCTCTGTCCACCAAATGACCCAACCAGGGAGGGTGTTAAAGTTCTGTTCTAAGTAAGCAAATAATGTGTAGTGCACGTACGTGTTTAAATACTGTATCGACTTTGAATATTCTCTATTAATCTAACGTAGGCCTTTAACAATATTCATATATGTACATATTAAACGGAACGCATGTATATGAAGACGTTGCATTATTTTAAATACTCCCAGTATTTGTACAGTGTTATCAAATATTAGCAGTATAGTCGAAACGTCATCGATGTAAAATAAAGGTACGTGTCGAATACTTTAGGGACTTTTTTTTTCTTCCGTGGTCAAAATGTCTGAGTCATTTGCAATATTTTACACCCAATTATAACCTTGTGACGGGCATCTGCCGAACAAAGAGCCGTCACGGGTTGCCTTACAGTGACATACACGGTTGTTGTTCAAATCAGTAAAGGTTGAAAGTGAATTTTACCGCTAAATGTGGAAGCAGATTAGAAATTAGAGAGATCCACTTTCCCACTGGTAGCACAAAGGACCCCCCCCCCCCCCCCATCAAATGAAGGATGCCGCTTCTCCCTTAAATCAATCTGCGGGGACCACCACCCCCAGCACCCCCCACACACAATGGGCCCGCTGGGCGTGCGCTAGCCAGGGTTACAAGTCTCAGCAAGGGCATCGTGGGGTCGAGCTG